ACAGCAGAGGGAGCCCAGCTGAGACCACTGGGCTCATTGTGTCCTCATTTCTGCTTTGTGTGATCTCGAGTAAATGCCCTTAATCTAACATGACTGCTTTCTCATCTGTAAAATGCGAATAACAATAAGAATAGGGTTGTACATATAGCGCTTAGCACAGCACCCGGAATGCAGTTAACGTGGAGCAAACATTAGCTATTATCACTGTCACTGACATTAACACTGGTTTTCACAGCCCTGGAGGCAGGACACTTATTAACAAGCCGCTTGAATCACTGTAAGCTGATTGAGTTGAACTGCCTTGCTAGGGTTACAACACACAGGCCCTCTGGTCAGTGTGCAGGGACATGAAACAATATAGTAAATAAAGCTCCGGGTGAGCCCTGTCGTCCCAAAGCACAACTACTCCCTCTAGCCTGGTTTTTCATGAGGTCAGGGCCAGGCTGTGCCCCAAACTTGGAGTGTTGTCGGCTCACCGGGTGGAATCCTGTTGTAACAAAACCTACAAAAGGTTGGCCACGGTGCAGACAGTTTTCTTTGTTCACTTATAATATTAGACCCCATTTCCTGGCATCTGCTTTAGACAGGTGTTTTGTTGTTTTTTTTTAAGTGTACACTCATTTATTTATTTATTTTTTTATTATTTTTTTAATAATTTTTTTATTGTTATGTTAACCACCATACATTACATCATTAGTTTTTGATTAGACAGGTGCTTTTGACACCCATACTTCCAACCCAGTGAGATGCCTTGTAGACCCATTTGACAGATAAGGAAGTGAGGACTGAGAGGATAAAGGATGTAGGCCACACAGCTGTTAACCGCGGGGCTGAGCTTGGCATCCCCCCTCTACCGCTCTACACTGCTTCTCGGCCCTGGCCGGGCACCCAAGGACTGTGGATAGACGGGCAGAAGAGGAACCAGGCAAGGTAGAAGACCCCGGCTCTCTTCTGCTCTCTTCCTTCGCATTCTCGGTGCATCCCTGGCACTTCTCAGAGCACCTGTCTGGATACTTTTAGGAATCATAGCCATCTGGAATCACAGACTCCCGGGTCCAAACCATTCAATCAGTGCTTGAGAACGGCCCACAGTGTTCCCCACCCATGCACACACACACACACGCACGCACACGGTGTGCTTGGGAGCTCCAGGACCTCCTGCACCAGCCCATCCTATCAGTGGGGGGACGATGGATAGAACACCTTCCCCTACTGTGAGCTTCTACCCATAAGTCCCACCCATGAGTGCAAGTTGAGACCGCTTCCAATGCACCAGGAGTGGAAAGTGTGCTTTCTCCATGTGATACGCATGTCACACCGTTGAATGGAGCAGCGGGGTCCCTAGCACTCTGCTTCCTCTACTGCTGGAATCTGAGGCTCCCTTCCTGTTGCTCGGGGTACTTTTCCACACTCTTTATGCAGGTCCCTCATAGCCATCCGCAGTCTGGGTCCTTCCCTCCATCCTTTCTCAAGCCTGTTGGAAGCAGAGTTCCCTGGCCAGGGGATTTCTCAGGAAGATGCCCCTTTCTTTTTCCTCTGGGCCCATTGGTGACTATAATGTCCGAGAGCTCCACCACCTTCACAGTTAGCTTCTATTTCAGGGAGTCTGGCCCTTGGTACCTGGAAATCTTTTCTCTGAATTCTGAGATGTCTGAGGACCTTGTCTGCCTGCCAGATTTCTCCTTTCCCCGTGGAGCTCCACAAATGGCTTAACGGTAGTAAGAGGGGCCAGAAACTCTGCCAGAGTCCTCTAGAGAGTTTCTTTGAGGCGACACACCCTGGGGTTCCTCCACATTGTGCTTTTGCAACAGGCAGTACCCTCCTTTCACCACCAGCCCAATACCCCATTTCATCCATCTTAGCAGCAGCCCGGTGAAGCAGGCGCACCCTCAGGGATGGAGCTCTTTAGTTCTGAATCTCCCCCAACCTAAGCCCAGTGTGCAGGAAAGAGCTTCCTGAGGAAAAGTCTTGGCAAGAACTCAGTTCAGGCATGACCCACCATGTCAGGCGAAATGCTCTGGGCTGTAACCCAAACCTAGGTCAACTGGCTTAACATAAGGAACAGGTAAGTTTAGCAGCTCCGTAAGCACAGCTGGTGCCCCGTGTTGCTGCCATATCACTGGCCAGACTCCATGTGCTGATCGTACCCTTTGCCTTGACCCTCTCATCACGACAGAGCTGCCCATCCCGACACAGGTGCACCCAAAGAGGGGAAGCCCAGGCCATCTTCAGGCCCCTTGTTAAAGGTGAGGGATGCTTTCCCAGAAGTGCATCAGCACATGCCCCTTCCAGGCTGTTTGACCAGAATTGGGTCTCATGCTCATTCCTAAAACAAAGGCATTAAGAAGGGGAGGTTATAATCAGGACTGAGCCAAACAGACCTTGTCAACCAAGGCCTGGAAGGAGTTTATGTCTTCTGAGCAGGCAGGTGTCAGATACCCAAGAAAACCAGCTGCCGTGAGCAAGGAGGAAGCAAGGCATGCTGCGGGGCTGGCCAGAGTTTCCCAGGGAGCTCAGAGAGAACAGGCACCTGGAGGGCATGGAGCCACAGAGCTGCAGACCCCGGCCCCCAGCAACAACATCCGTGCGCTTCAGTGTCTGCCGCAGAGACCCAGGTACCAGCGTGTGGGAGAGGGGATGCACGGAGGCACGGGTGCCAAGAGCTGTGGAAAACTGGGAAATTTGGAGTCAATAAATGCAGTCTGCTATTAAACACAGTCAGCTGACCCAAGAAATAAATATGTCAAACCACACATTTTTAAACCTGATCTTAAAGATCCCATGAACACAGAAGGGGGGGGAGAGATGAAAAATAAATGATAGTCTTTATGGAATATTATGAAATCTTGATCAAATTAATCAATCACATCAGAATAACTTTATTTTTTTATTTTTTTATCATAATCAGTCTTTAATTCCCATCACCTATTTCCCCCACCCCCCCCCCCCCCTCCCTCTGGTAACCATCAATTTGTTCTCTATGGTTAAGAGTCCGTTTCTTGGTTTGTGTCTCCCTCTTTTTTTTTTCTTTTGCTCATTTGTTTTGTTTCTTAAATTCCACATATGAGCAAGATCACATCGTACTTGCCTTTCTCTGACTTATTTCACTTAACGTAATATGCTCTAGCTCCATCCATATCATTGCAAATGGCAAGATTTCACTCTTTTTAATGGCTGAGTAATACCACTGTGTATATATACCACATCTCCTTTATCCATTCATTAGTGGATGGATCATCAGGGGGACACTTGGGCTGCATCCATAGGTTGACTATTGTAAATAATGCTGCTACAAACATAAGGGTGCGTTTATCCCTTTGAATTAAGTGTTTTTGTATTTTGGGGCTAAATACCCAGTAGTGTGCTTTCTGAGTGACAGGGTAGTTCTAGTCTTAATTTTTTTGAAAAACCTCCATGCTATTTTCCAGAGTGGCTGCACCAGTTTGCATTCCCACCAACGTGCATCCTCACCAGATCCTCACCAACACCTGTTGTTTCTTGTGTTTTTGATTTTAGGCATTCTGACAGGTGTAAGGTGATATCTCCTTGTGGTTTTGATTTGCACTTCCCTGATGATTAGTGATACTGAGCATCTTTTCATGTGTCTGTTGACCATCTGGATGTCTTCTTTGAGAAGTATCTGTTCATGTCTTCTGCCCATTCTTAAATTGGAGTATTTGTTTTTAGGGTGTTGAGTTGTATCAGTTCTTTATATGTTTTAGGTACTAACCCTTTATCAGACATGGCATTTGCAAATATCTTCTCCTGTTCAGTAGGTTATCTTTTAGTTTTGTTGATTATTTCCTTCACTGGGAACTTAGAATAATTTTAACAGAGAAAAATATCTATTCATTATATGAAGGTGTATGATCCCCACAAAGCAATAAACAAAACAGACTATGCCTGAGTTTTTCATTATTATTAGAATTTGGTTTGTTTTTTTTTTTTTTTACCTAATTTGGTTGTTTTGCTGTCTATCCCATTTGAGCACAAGGGTAATAAAAGATTTCAGAAAAATGCCTGGGAGAAACCCTAAAACTTGATATCATTCAATTCCTTACATCAGTGAGGAAACAGAATTAGTAAAAGCCCAAACTGTCAACTTTTAAAGGCTGGGCTTCCTGGAGCTGCTCTCAGGACATACTTTGAGAGCCACCAATCCAGCCAAACCCTCCCATTTGTTTTCTGCAGAAGTTACTACGGCTTACTAATATCTTTGGGTTTCCCCAAGGTCACCCAGTTAATTATTGACATAGAAAGTCTGCTCCCAAAGAATCATAATTATTTCCCACATCACACATCAGGGATGCATGTCAGGGATAAAGGAAGGTCCATGTGTGGTGTTGGCCTGAGCTATAGGTATGTCTGGTCGAGTCTAAATCCAGCACAGACTGCAAAGCTTTCCACTATATGCAGAAGAAGCTTGGAACTCATTTCAAAAAGCTGCTTCTGCTTGTGATTTAAAGACACATCTTTCTCTCCCACACACAGACCAACACGGACCTGTCACCTCTAGACACCAACTCTCCTAGAGCCAGTGGGCCTGAGGTCCAGGTGTGACTTCCTCACAGCTGACCAGGAAGGGAGGGCCTGGGCTGGCCCCTCGGCTCTCTCCTCCTGCCCAGAAATGGTTAATTGCCAGCTCCAGGCTGCCTCCAGCCCAGCCCTAATTGGCCTGATCTCAAGCTGCTGGCCGTGCTGGAGCCTCAGCGGCTCCAGGCCAGGCTGGAGCTGCACGGAGTGGCAGGGGCATTCTTCCAAGGTAATGATTAAGCTAAGCGTCTGGCAAGGGCATAGGCAGCAGAGCCAGGAAGGTGAGCCCTATCCACACCCCAGCCAGGCTGTGGTGGCCAAGACTGGTTTGGAAAGGCAGGGCCCCAGGGCACGGGGGCCCAGAGCCGACAGCCACAGCCTCCCCCTGCACACGGGCATCCAGGAGCATCTCAGGCCGGAGCCTCTGCTGCCTGCCCTACTGGGACTCTGCCCTCAACCCTGGCATCATGAAGCTGCAAATGTTCTGGACTGGTCTGGAATACACCTGCCGGCTCCTGGGCATCACCACAGCTGCAGGTAAGACCCCGCCTCCCAGCTGCAGTCCCCAGTGCACTGGGCACAGCAGACAAGGCTGTTCAAGGGGTGGAGGCCAGCCGGCTGGGGACAGATGGACACATCTGGCCACATCTGCCCTCACTTTTCTTCCTGATGCCTCCAGAAACATTGCTCTGCAGGGCAGCGGCGGGTGCAGTGGGGTCAGCCTGGGTGAGGGCGCCTGGTGCTAAATCTCCCCTTGGCAAACCACCACTCATGTGACCTTGGGAGCCCTCAGCGTCCTCATCTGGAAAATGAGTAGAGAGGGTCTGCCTTACCTCTTTGAGGGCTGTCGTGAGGTGAAGGTGAGAGCTGAAGCTGAAGGTATGAAAGATCAGGCAAATGTGAGAATCGGATGCCTTGCTGTGTAGCTACGGAGACGGCCAGCAGCTCATCATGTTTTACCCAAACCGCAGCTCCGTTTCAAGGGACGAAAATTCCCAGCACTTGGGACAGGCCGAGCTCTAGCACTGGACGGGGAGGTCCTAGGCTTCCCTTGGCTCACTCCCACCCCGTGAACAGAAAGTCCTGAGAAAACCAGGCCCCCTCTCTGCGATCTGACCGCAAGAACACACCGTGGGTCTGGCGTAGAGGTGGTTCCCTGTGCTGGGCTCCTCTTCCTCACCCGCCTGATCACAGGGCTGCTCGACCCTCAGACAGAGAGAAGCAAAGCAGCCACGATCCTGAGTTCTGCCTGCTCCCTTCCCCAGTGCAGACTCCAACCTTTAGCCCCCCTCACCCTCCACATGGTCAGGGTTGTTGGGCCTGTGTGAGAGATCACAGCTCTCAGCTCTAGGCTCCACTGTCCCTTGGGAACAAGGAAGAGACACACATTGCTCACCAAGTCCTTCCTTGCATCCAGCATGAGTCTTGGCAATTAGGAAATGTCCCCCAGCCCAGACTCCAGCCATGCTGGTTCCAGCCCCTGCCCTGTCATTTGCTGATGTGTGACCTTGGGAGAGCCACCCAGCCCCTCTAGGATGGCACTTTCTGATCGGGACCTGCTGGCCAGGTGTTTTGGAGGATCGAAGATGTACAAACTGAGCAAAGCTCAGTGGAACTGAAGGCATAAACCTCTTGGGAGAAGACCGCATGACCAGTTCAGAGCTCGGTAGGGAGGCTGGCCGGCAGGCTCTTCTGGTTTTAGGTCCTCAGCACAAGAAGTCAGCTGTGGGGGAAGGTCTAATGACACTCCTCCTGTTGCAAGATGGAGCACCTGAGCCCAAATGGGGCAGCGACCTTGCCCAAGGTCACACTGCAGATCAGAGGGACAGTAGATCTGGAGCCCAGGTGCCTCAACTTTTGAAAAGGCCAGGACTCTGGCCAAGGAACTCCCTGCTTCCCAGAGTAGGAAACCCTGCCCTGTGGACACCAGGAAGGGCCTGGAATTGCTCTGCTGAGGGCCCTGAGTAAAGGGGCTGATGGGGGAGCCCGTTCTAGCTTCTGCCAGAAGTACCTTGTCACCTACATGTAAGGCAATGACTGCCAAGGCCCACAACTTCCCATCCTGGGGAGAGGAAGGTAAACCTGAATAGGGTTTCTGTGTCTGGGGTTCAAGTCCTGGTCTACCCCTGTTGATCTTGAGCCCACCCTGCTTTCCTCTGGCCCTCAGTTTCCAGATAGGCAAAATGTACCCTTCTCAGCTATCAGATAACTTGGTGATAGTTCCTGCTGCTACATTCTGCCCAGAGCTGAGGTCTGCCTCCTGTCAGGGAGCTGCTTGAAGAGATATCTATTTTTCTAATAGCCTAGCAGAAGACAGTTTAAAAGTCTGATTTATCTCAGCCAGTGGAAGGGTCTATAGCCTTACACGTGCACGCACACGCACGCAAACACACACACACACACGCACGCACACACACTGTTCCTCTTAACCACAACTCTTATCTGTGTGTGGAGGGCTGCTGTTAATGCTGAAGATGGGCCTTCCGCCTGGTTTTGATATAGGATCCAGGCTAAAAATAGGCCATAAGTTGCCTTTTAATGGCCAGGCTTTCCAGTAATCTTGTTGGAGGTTTCTAGAGTGCTGGGAGCAAGCAGGAAGCTAGAGAGAGGGGCTTCGGGGCTCTTGGGCAAATCTCAAGTCACTAAACTCCTGGCCTGTTTCCAGTGCTTAAGATTTGCAAATTCCTTATTCCCTTAAGCCTCTTGTTGTTGAAATCTCTTTTGAGAAGTCTGGGCCTCATTTACAGTAGCATTGCTACTAGAAGGGAAATAAGACTTGATAAAGAGGCTATCACTTTGCAGAAACCCCAGGAGACCTAAGGTAGCCCCTGGCCCTTCTATGAGAAGTGTAGGTTCTCCAGAAGCTAGGAAAAGCATGTGGCCCAAGCTTGCTTGGGCACCTGCAGAGACCAGGCAGCTGCCAATCCAGCAGCATCTTCCCTGGATCCCCTTCTCCTCTGTAGATGGGCCTGGGACTGCTAGAGCTTCTAAGGGTACCAGACCCCAGGAGACTCCACCAGAATGGCAAGGCCCAGTGGCGATGGCCTGGCTGGCTGAGTTCGTCTCTTCTTCACCTCCCAGCCACTCTGGATGAAGCTTCATCAGGATGTCCAGTGGTCCCATGGGCCATTGCTGCCCCACTCCCATACCCAGCCCCACACCACCAGTGGGCACACCACTAGTGGGCACTGACCAACCATTGCCACTGCTAAACAGGGGTAGACGGGCCACAAGCAGACAGCACCCAGCTGAAGTGTTTCTAAAATTAAGAAAATTCTCTCCCATGAGACATTTTTTAATGACTTTGAGCCAGTCATAATTTTTCCAGATCATCACAGAGTTTCTTCCCAACATTTGTCTTACACTTGGTTAGCTTCACTCATTTGCATTACCTCCCTGGCATGGAAGGCTGTGTGTGTGTGTGTGTGTGTGCATGCACATGCTTGTGTGTACACATATGTGTGACCACTGGTGTCCCTCCTGCTGAGATGTGTCTCCAGGAGTCACTAGAAGAAGCAAACACAACTGGGGAACTGCACACAGATTGTGAGCGCTCCACACCTCCCCATACAGATGCCAGACACCTACTGGTGTCTAAACCTCAAAGCAGGTTCTGACTGTGTCCACATAAAGGAGTGACTTTAACATAACTGAGTTAGAGACTCAGGCCCAAGAGGATGCCCGGCCCTGTGATTTATTGTCACTACAAACCAATGATCAGAAAAGGGAAGCTGGGAAGTGGGTTTTACTGACATGGGAGCACAGACAGTTCTCTGTCTCGCAGGACTGGTCCCCATCCCTGTTCTTGGAGAGCAGGATTGGCTTCCCTTTGACCTTCTGCAATCCTCTTAATCGCTGAGGGAGAATCTCCACACGCTTCCTCACCACTCCTCAGCCCCAGCCCCAAGTCTGTGGGGAAGAGCCCACTGGTTCGGCCCTTTGTTGAGACCCCCGCAACTTTCCTCAGAGCAAGGAGGCTCAAGATTGAGGCTTCTCACTGCCAACGCTTGAGGGCTTTCTTCACTCTTCCAGCTCTACCCTGGGGTAATAGCTGATAAGGAAGATTATTTGAGTATTTACTGTGAGCCAAGCTCTGTGCTACATGATTTAAGTGTAGTATTTCCTTTCACCCTCATAACTACCCGGTGAAGCATCAACATGCTCATCGTTACTGCCACTGTATGTGGGGGGAAACTGAGGCTTGGTGAAACAATTTGCTCAGGGTACCACAACCAGGAAGCAAAGAGGCAAGATTCTAACTGAGACCTTTCTCTTAATCAGTGTGTCCTCCACCTAAATCAGGCTGAAGGACATGTCTTTCTATGGTTTGGCAACCCCAAGATGCAGAATACAAAACACACAGAGGATACCACAGAGGTTTGTCTGAGGCCATACCGTACATAGGCTCAGGCAAGTGGGGTCATGTTGAGGTTGGGCACAGTTACACCAAAGCATAGTAAGCATAACCAAACGCTTCCTAAGTCTAAAGACTCTGATATTTGATCCAGATGCTCATTTTCTCTCACTGAATAATTGCCGTGTAGACTTTGACTGGCACTACCATAACCATCCAGCCAAATCCACTCCTGGACCTCATCAGAGGACAGACAAATCTGTTCCTATTTCCAGAGGGAGCTATCACAGCAGGACCTTCCATTTATGGGTCCAGAGATGCATAACAGTAAGAGAAAGTCCTGATCTTGCTAAAGCCCCATCAGTGTCTATGAGGGTCAAATGCTGATCTTAGACCTATTTTACCAATGAGGAAACTGAAGCTCAGAATGTCCAGGTAGCTTGGTACGGGTCGCACAGCCACTAGACAGCTGGTCTGGTATTGGAGGTCCAGTCTGCCCACTCACAGGGCAGTGATGCAGTGGCGCATCCAGGGGCTGACAGCACACTGCTCCAAAGAGAAGGGCACCACACAGCCCACCAGGAAATGGGCTGGCATTGAGACAAGGCCATTTTAAATGAGCCCCGTGTTTCAGGTTAATGTGCTCTTTCTCACAAATCAATGATTTTAGATCAACCTGGAATCACTTAGGGGTTTTGTTTTGTTCCAGGCTTTTGACCCATTAACCTCTTCTCTACATAAAGGACAGAGCCACATTCCCAACAGCTCCACTGCTTGCCAATACTCAGTTCAAAATGGAGATTTGGCTTGTAAATATAGCCTAAGACAAAAGAAGCATTTAAACCTAGATGTTCTCATTATTTTTTAAAGAGTACTAAAGAGTACAGCAAATGCATAGTTTGACCTTAGCCCTATCTAAGCCTTCAAAAAAAAAAAAAAAAACTAAACTAATGCTTCTGAGACAACCATCTTGGGCCCTCCATGCCAATTTTCCATCCTTCTTAAATGTGGATCCCCGTGACCATCTCCTGCCATCTAAGGAAGCCTCATGCACTTCAACATGTCCACAAGTGGATTTATTACCCAAGCAAGACCACATTGTTTTCACATCCTCCAAATGGATGTTGACTGTTTTTCTTTTCTGATCTGATTGTCCTAATGAGTAAATTAAATATCCCTACCT